TATATTTACTAATCATAGATGGAAAAGCTCATTGCAATTCAACAATCCACAATATTTTTTTTTAATTTTTAATTTGTTTCATGTATGCACAAATTTGCTGATTTTTGTAAATACACATGTTTAAACATGACATTATGGTAACTATAGGAAAATCAAAATTTATTGGTAATTTCCTAACATTTCTTAAGCAAGCATCTTGTGGGAAATTTGTCCTGGCTTTCCCACATGAAAGTGTTGAGATTTATAATACGACAAAATTGAAAAAAAGGGCAACAACAGCTTGAAATCTTGAAAGATTAGAGCGGACAATTCTCTCTTTTTAAGCGGAAGAATAAAGACTCAAACTCCTGCTTAGTGTGTAAGGAAGAAAATGTTTATTTACATGCACAAAAAAAAGGGTATAAGGACATAGACAATTATGAGAGAAAGAAACGGAGAAGAAAATTCCTTTAACTTTAAATGACGAAAAAATGTTTGTAAAAAAGCTTGCTCAAAATATTTCTCTGAACACTATAGTAGATTGTTGTTAAAGGTTAAAACACTCACAGATTTGTTCAGAGTTCTTATAAAGGTGGAAACTGTCGGATGATATGAATTTTGTAGTTGAGTGAGTTCGTAGGTCGGCAACAGATATTTCTAGGTGCAAGGAGGCAGATCTCAATTGGTTTTTAGTAGTGGGCTGACAGTCTGTCTTTACAGCCTAGCAGGTAGATCTTCTTTGTTGAAACTGGTTCCAAAGTTGACTGGTGTTCTCTATCGCTGACCTCACAGATGGTTGTTAAATTCTCACTGCCAAACAAGCGTAAATTATCTGTATTTATGAAGATTAGAAAGCTCAGAAAATATTAGGAATTTTTCCCTTGAAAACTGCTATACAAATTTTCTGGCCATTTCATTTGTTAGAAAATATATTCTTATCTCTGATAAGAATCAAGGTTTTGGGAGCTGCTTTTTGGAAGTAAGGGTCCGACAAAGTCTGAGGCTAGAATGTGTAATATATTGTAATCATGGTTCTCAAATTAAATTCTAATAATCCTCATAAGTAAGGCTATAATGCCAAAGTACCGAAAATTCAATAAAATATTAGATTGTTTAAAATATTTTCATAAATTTTTAAGATTACTGGATATTTTAAAAAATAATATAAAAAAATGGATTCAGGTTATATTTGTTAAGTTACTGTTACAATTATGTCCCCATTAATAAAAAATTCCAAACATAATTCTGGTGAGGGAATTGTCAGCACCTCATAAAAACACCCACCTCTGTCTTAAAAAATGCTTTTTTGAGATAATTTAAAATAAAAGTAATATTTGTTTCAAATAAGACTAATTAAACTTTAAACTAGCTAAGATTCTCCAAATCAAGTTTCAGAAAATTATATTTAATTTTTGAAAGATTTTTTTTAATAAAACGAATTACATTGTGTTGACAGATTTGTTAATATGAACAATTTTAGGTTTTTTTTATTGATAATAGAAAACAAACTCATTCCAACCAATTTAAATTCAGTTTGAAATACAGTAAAATATTTTGCTTATTGGAAATATTAAATTTAATTAAAACTAAAATAAAAGCTTCAAGAAAGATTTCTCATTTTTAAAAATGCATTTTAAACCATAGGTATCATTTTTCTTTGGTGGTGCCTATATATATACATAAACATTCTGTTTATATATACATGTTGCAAATAAAATCTTTGCATTGATAAAGTCCATCAGCGGATGAAACACATTCATAAGAAAAGTTTTCCTTCAGTCTTTATTAACACACACACACACATATATATATATATATATATATATATATATATATATGTGTGTGTGTGTGTGTGTGAAAATATATAGAAAATAGGAAGGAACTGGTTAGGTAAATAATCCAAAGTCCCTTAGTATTTTAGTTATTATTTTTAAAAAATAGTGCTCGATACAAAAGTAGAGCATAAATATAATTATTTATTTAAAAATATGATTCCAAAACGCTACATAAGAAGTCTCATGTTTCAAAACAAGAGCCGTTCACTTGAAGATGGAACAGAGCTTATTTTAACTCAATTTAATTTAAATAATTATATTGAAGTTTTATTATTTTTGCTTCTTCGCTTAGTTTAAATTTGACGTAGGTCATATTTGATTGGTTGATCAGAGTAAAGCCCACAAACCTTATACCAACTTTTTTTTTTCTTGAAGAAAGAGGTTGTATTTTTCTTTTAAATTTTAATAATCATTCACTCGCCAGTAATTTACAATCACCTGATGAGATGCATTGAAACACAACTGCACTTGTGTAGCAATTTTTTACATGTTTTCGATATAATATCTTATATATATATATATATATATATATATATATATATATATATATAGTTGTGCATTTGGGTAGCAACCCCTCTTTTATACAAATTTTTCTTATGTTTGTATAAGTTTCTTCTTTTCTGGACATAAAGTATGTAGAAATTGTCTGAATGTTTTTCATGCTTGAGTGTTTTTGGTTATTCTTTTAGCCATTACCAAGGATGTTTTTTATTTTCCAAACATGGTCAGCACATTTTGACCGTGTTCATAGTTGATGTTATTGAGTGCTGGCTTTTACTTTTTTATTATCAATGCTTCCATTATTTTTAGTCTTTTTTACATGTAGATGAGGCTATTATAGTTGTATTTTCTAAGAGTATGTTGGGGATGAAGTTTGGTAGGTTTTTGTGAGTGTTTAAATGAGTCTTAATTGAGCTAGGGTCAGAGAGATGCAATGTGAGTCTTCTTGATAGGCATGTAGTGGTATGTCCAACATAATTATTCATGAATTTGGTTTGATCAGGACTATAGTTCCTTTAGGGACATGAATTCATAAATAATATTGATTCTTTGAATCTTGCAGGTGAGTTGTTATTGTTTATGATAAGGTTAGCTGTTTTAAATATTTTATAGTAGAGAATTAATTTAATTTTCTTGTTCTGGTCAATTGGGGTTATATATTTCTTTAGAATGTTTCTAAGTGGAAAAAAAACATTCCCATAACTAGATACATATATAAAAATGTACAATTTCAGTTGGAATTAAAAATTAAAATGAAACATCCTTGGTAATAGCTAAAATAATAGTCGAAAGGGCTCAGAGATAAAAAAAAAAAGACATTCAGACAATTTTTATACACTTTGCAGAAAAGAAAAAGTTATATGAACACAAGAGAAAATTCAATAAAAATCTTAACCACAATACCTTGTCAGTCGTCTTTATATATATCCAAGTATAGGATTGGTGTATACAGAATAAATTCCAATAACCAACAAATACTATTCTTAAAAGAGTGCTCAATACAGAGTAGAGCAAATATAATCATTTATTCGAAAATTATAACATAAAAATGTTATAAAATCACTACAAAAATATTCTATTTTAGTCTAATCCCAACACTAAAGTATTAAATAATTATTATAACCTAAGTTCGTTGTCAAGTTTTTTGAATTCTCGTATACTTGTATTTTGATTGATCATTCCAGCTTATGTAACAGCGTTTCCCCTAGCGAGGGGTGTTTGATTGATTTGAACCTTTTAAAACGCTTTATTCTACATTCAACACCATCACTTGATAAAACACCAGAAATGTTGAAACAAAATGGCTATTTTGTAGTGATTTTATAACATTTTATGTTATAATTTTCGAATAAATGATTATATATATATATATATATATATGATTGAATTATATATATGATTGAGTTAATTACAGACATTATGTCTGCTAATTTTTATTAAAATTCATTCATACTCATGAATAACCTTCCATGTATTGATGTTAAAGGATGAGAGAAATGTGCTATTGCTGCTTAAATTTATTTTATTTTAATTTCTCAAGAACTTTCGATCTTTTTCAGAGATCATCTTCAGGCTGAAAATAATACAAAACTATATGTTGTTCATTAATATAAGTATTTATACAAAATTGTGCGTTGTTATCCATTACTTTAATTTTTTCATTATGCTTTTAAATGCAAAACAGTTGGGAAATGAAAATAAAAGAAATTTAAACAGCTATAGCACTTTTCTCTCACACTTTAACATCAATGCATGGAAGGTTATTCATGAGTATGAACAGATTTTGTTAAAAATTAGCAGATATGTCTAATTTATTTAGACATGCCTAAAAGAGAATTTGCTGCCTAAATACATATATATATATATATATATATATATATATATATATATATATATATATATATATATATATACATTGTGTGTATTCAGGCAGCATTTTTTCATTCATACATGTTTCATTAAATAATATAGAATTCACTCTCGTGTGGTCATGTGTGACGTCATGAGCTGCGGTGTGATTTTCGCTTCTAGCATCTTATATGCACGTGATTATTGTTGCTAGGAAATGATCCATGTAAACAACAACAGACTATCATCACTGTCTTATCCATATATTGTTTAATATATTTTACAGTAATTGACATCTTTGATAATGGCTTATGCAAGCCAAAAGCTTAGATTGGATTAAAAAATATGGATTAATATCGTGATTTTCTTTCTTCGTTTAATGATAATGTTACTAAGCTTATCAGACGTTATGAAAAGAATTTATATAAAATAAATAGACAACACTTGTCTATATTATTTAATGAAACATGTATGAATATATATATATATATATATATATATATATATATAGCCATTGTCTTTCTGCTTATTTTCACATGACAACATACCTGTGTATAAAACTTATACTAAATGGAATGTCTCATTTAAGTCATTTATCCTCTTTTTACATCTCTCCCCATCTCACCACAGATGAACAACTGTCACTAGTTCCTTCCTAACTGAAAACCATCTTTCCCTTTGTCTCCTTATCCCCAGGCCAGATAATCCTTTATTCTGGTCCCCTATTTAATAAATAATGACATCCAAATAATATTTGCTTCTCATGACACAACTCAAAATTGTAAAGCTCAGATAAACAATTACATTTTTATTGTAGAAGATTGTTTTGAAGTCAAAATGGATGTTAGTCACCAAATTTCCCTTAAGAATTTTGTTGAAGAAGTAATATTCACTAGTTTTTCGGGTCATTTCTTTCTTTCCTTTTTAGGGGTCATTTCTTTCTTTTTTTGGGGTCATTTCTTTCTTTCCTTTTTTGGGTCATTTCTTTCTGTTTTTTTGGGTCATTTCTTTCTGTTTTTTTGGGTCATTTCTTTCTTTCTTTTTTTCTGGGTCATTTCTTTCTTTTTTGGGGGGGTCATTTCTTTCTTTCTTTTTTTTGGTCATTTCGTTCTTTTTTGGGGGGGTCATTTCTTTCTTCCTTTTTTTGGGGGTCATTCCTTTCTTTCTTTTTTTGGGGAGTCATTTCTTTCTTTTTTCTGGGTCAATTCTTTCTTTTTTGGGGTCATTTCTTTCTTTTTTGGGTCATTTCTTTCTTTCTTTTTGTCTGAGTCATTTCTTTCTTGTTTTTGGGTCATTTCTGTCTTTCTTTTTTGGGGGTCATTTCTTTCTTCCTTTTTTGGGGGGCTATTTTTTTTCTTTCTTTTTTGATTCATTTCTTTCTTTTTTGGGAGGGGTGGTCATTTCTTTCTTTTTTTTTTGAGTCATTTCTTTCTTTTTTGTATCATTTCTTTCTTTTTTGGGGGATCATTTCTTTCTTTCTTTTTTTGGTGGGGGTTGTTCCTTGCTTTTTTAGGGGACATTTGTGGGAGGGGCATTTCTTTTTTTTTTTTTGTTCATTTCTTTCCTTCTTTTTTTTTCTTAAGCCATCCATCCAGATCTTCCAAATGGACATTTTGTCTGGACAATCTGTCTGGACATTTTGTCTCACTTTCAGTTTAATCTGTTAGGTCAGCTTGGCCTTGAAAGTTGTACAATTTATATAAATCACATCCTTTAAGTAAATTTCTATAAACATGTAAAAAAATGTTTTTACCAAGATTTTCTAAAAAAAAAAATGTTTCTAAAATAATTTAATTAATTTGTGAATAAATCCTGAAAGTTTAATTAAAATCCGACAATTATCTGGTTTTTTTCAGGAATTTCCAATTCAATGTGTTTTTCACCACAAAAAAAGATGCTAACATTTCCCATAATAATTTTTGGTTCACCAACTGATGCAAGAACAAGATTTTTAACCAAAATTTCGAATGGTCTAAAAAGGATGAAGAAATACAATTTAATAATAAATAATCTGTCTATCTCAGTTTATTCTATGTCTCAGTCTATTCCTAATTATGAATCTTTCTCAGTCTATAAATATCTATTTCAGTCTGTTTATATTTATCAATCTTTCTCGATCTGTAAATATCTATATTAATATCTATCTGTTTCAGTCTATTCATATCTATTAATCTTTGTCTATAAATATCTATCACAGTCTATAAATATCTATCCCAGTGTATAAATATTTAACTCACTCTATAAATAGCTATCTTAGTCTGTTCATATCTATCTCAGTCTATAAATATCTATCTCACTCTATAAATATCTATCTTAGTCTTGTAGAGGACCGTGTGTGTATTTATGTGTTGTTGTATTAGAAACACATGTGTAACTTCTAGTAGAATATTTAAAGATCCAACTACATGAAAATTGGCAGATTTAATTTTTCGAAGATGAAAGAAGACAAACAAGACAGATATATATATATATATATATATATATATATATATATATATATATATATATATATATATATATAAATATCAACAAATTAAACAAATTACAAGGCACATAGACATAATATTGTGTGTGTTATTTGGTGAATGTTATTTTAGTGAAGGTTTGTAATGTTCATAGCATTTTCCAGAAATGGGAAACGCTGATCTTCTAAGAGCTTAGATATTGTGGCTGAAATGAAGAAAAAGAGATTTACCTCACCTCCACGCGAGGTGGAATGCGGCACAAGGCCTGAGGGAAAAAGATTGAGGCAAGAGGTCACCCGGTATTTATAGCATGGGGAGAGAGACCTCTGGTAAAGAATTAGGGAACTAAGGAGGAGGTAACTTCAACAGTCTATTAATATTTATCTATTTCAGCCTGTTCATATTGATCTCAGTCTGTTTATATCTATCAATCTTTCTGAATCTATAAAAATCTCAGTCTATTCATATCTATCTGTTTCAGTCTATTCATATCTATTAATCTTTCTGTCTATAAATATCTATCTCAGTCTATAAATATCTCAGTCTGGTAATATCTGTATCAGTCTATAAATATCAATCTATCTGAGTCTATAAATGTCAATCTATCTGAGTCTATAAATATCTGTCTTAGTTTATAAATATCTATCTATCTCAGTCTATAAATATCTCAGTCCATTAATATCTACCTCAGCCTACAAATATCTCAATCTATAAATATCTATCCCAGTCTATAAATATTTAACTCACTCTATAAATTGCTATCTTAGTCTGTTCATATCTATCTCAGTCTATAAATATCTATCTCACTCTATAAATATCTATCTCACTCTATAAATATCTTGCTCTATAAATATTTATCTTAGTCTGTTAATATCTTTCTATCTCATTCTATAAATATCTAACTCAGTCTATAAATATCTGTCTCAGTCTATTAATATCTGTCTCAGTCTATAAATATCTCAGTCCATTAATATCTATCTCAGTTTATAAATATCTCAGTCTATAAATATCTATCTTAGTTTATTAATATCTATCTCAGTCTATTAATATCTACCTCAGTCTATAAATAGCTATCTCAGTCTATAAATAGCTACCTCAGTCTATAAATAGCTATCTCAGTCTATAATAGCTATCTCAGTCTATTAATATCTATCTCAGTCTATAAATATCTATCTCAGTCTATTAATATCTATCTCAGTCTATAAATATCTATCTCAGTCTATTAATATCTATCTCAGTCTATTAATATCTATCTCAATCTGTTCATATAAGGGGAGGAAACAGGGTTGTAAATAACAAGTGATAAATGTCAGACTATTTAAAACAGGAATTCCCAACCTTTTTTATGCCATCACCCATTTTCACATGAAAATATTTTCCACCACCTCCCTGTATAGTAAATTTAGAAAAGCATACAGTGGTGGGTAAATTATGTTTTGACAGACATTTTTCCTGCCTTGATAAATTTGATATGGCCAACGTGTTAAAAAAAAGTAAAACAATTTTATATTAAATAAAAATTATGCTGAAGTCTCTTTTTAATTTTACTAGCAAAGTTGTTCTTGGTCTCCCCTTATCTGATTTATAACTGAAAAACTGTTATTTCATCTGAAGAACTATTTGAATGTTAACGACCCTCTCAAAACAAGAGAAAATACCAAAATAGTCTGTCTATGTTTCTGAGATGAGGTATTATATACACTATTTACATTATTCGGAATATTGTCCTCATCTTTGTCGCCATATTTATTACAACGTTTCGGCCTTTCAGTATCTGTCTATATTTCTGAAATGAGGTATTATGTACACTATTTACATTATTCGGACTATTGTCCTCATCTTTGTCGCCATATTTATTACAATGTTTCGGCCCTTCAGTATCTGTCTATATTTCTGAGATAAGGTATTATGTACACTATTTACATTATTCAAACTATTGTCCTCATCTTTGTCACCATATTTATTACGACATTTCGGCTGGACACATGGCACAGTGGATAAAGGTGTTAGTTAGATCCAGTGACAGGACCCAAAGAGTGTGAGTTTAATACCTGGTTAAGGCAGTGGAGAACTTGGAGAGAGGAATTAACAGGAGATAACTGGTAACTGACATCCATTAAACATGGGAGGTCGAACTAGAACAGTCTACCCCAGTGAGTGAAACAAAGGGTTCAGTTCGACATTCCAACCACCTGAAGAAGGCCTGAGCGTACAACGAATGAAATGTTGTAATAAATATGGTGACAAAGATGAGGACAATAGTCTGAATAATGTAAATAATGTACCAAAATAGTCCTTGTTTGGGTGAGGGGATATTTATATCTTATCTAGGAATGTGACCCAGTTATTCTTACTTAGACACCTATTTTGTTCTTTTTTTTTTATACAGCTTCTTTGCATATCTTCTTTGAATATTTTTTTGTGGGGTAGCATATGTTGAAATACATTTTTAATGCTCAAATTCCTATATCGCCTATCAAAATTTCCATTTGTTCACAATTTTCTGTTTAGTTGCTCATTGCCCATGCAACAGTTGAAATCACCCACTGGTGAGCGATATTTCCCAATTTGGAAAACCATTTTTTTAAGAGGAATAAAAAAGAAGAAAAAGAGGTTTTTAATAGCAGCAAAAACAATTCATTATTTATAGAATTTTAGAGGCTGTAGAAATTATTATTTTTTAAAGTCTGGTTTCTTTATTTTGTTGAAATTTATTGTTTTGGTTTATGCATCTTAGCCAAAAGATTTTTATGCATGATGTCAGAGTTATATTTAGCCATTTTCATCCTAGCTATTTTTGAAGAGATTTTTGTTAAGTCTGTATTTTTGTCTTTTTTGTATTTGTTTTTTATGTGGACAGCTGCCTTTCTAAGGGTGTTTTTGAGCCGACCCGCGAAGTCTGTTAATTTTTCGCTGTCTCGCCATTCCAGATCCCAGGCTTGACTGAGGTGTTGGAAGTTAGTCATCTGGCTTCCGTAGGCTGCTAATAAGTATTCTTTCAGTTGTTCAAAGGTGGATATGTCTTTTTTGAGTCAACCATCTGCTGAAAGATACTTTGGTCCAGTAAATCTTTAGCAGACTTGATGAAGTCGCATTCCAGGCTGGGATAGGTGCTGAGTTTTGGCGTGACGTGGATTGTGTATGCTTTGCTTAGAGCCATGATGAATCGGTTCACGTTGTGTCCAGGGTGAAAAGTTCTCTCTAGCTTCAATATGTTGTGTATAGTTTGTTGGCGCATCATTAAGCTGTAATCGCCATTTCTTTGAGCGGTGGAAAGTGTTAAAGTAGTTGATTTTAGGGCAGCCAACATGTCGTTTATGTCGCCTTGAATTTCTTGTATCGGGTCTTCAGAAGGCTGTGTTGGTCCCGTTTTCAAGTTGAATAGTAGTGTTTTCTGTTCCTTGATGAGAGTAAATAGTTCGGATCGGGTGAAGCTCATGTAGTCATCCATATTTCTCTTGCTGTACGCTTCTGACACCAGTGTTATAGACAAGCGTATGGTTGCAAGAAAGAAAAATGACAACAGCAGAAATAGATTTACATGATTTATTTCAATAGAAACGTGTGGGTTTGGGACAGCTACCTTGTGGTATAGTTTATAAGCCGGCTGCCGATCTGGGTTGATTTCTCATAGTAGTTCTCACTGGTTGGCATGGCACTCCTCCTGCTGACTGCTGCTGACTGCCCAGACTGACCATGACAGATCTCTTCTCTGGCCTACTGTTGACTGCACTTGTACTTCCCTGTGTGACCCCTTTTATGGCGTTTTTTATGGCTCAACAGGCTCAAAAAAACGACGCGAGTATAATTAGGAGGGAAGCATTTTTATTGGTCAAGAAATAGGAACACTTTAAAATATTATTTTATTTTTTGACCGGAACTCGTGCGTTGGGCCTATGCGTA